GAGGCTCTAGACATTTTACAGGTGCTTCCAATATATTTTTACATGATAAACCCTAAAAGATGAGCTGATACATTATTTTAAAAATAAAACAAAACCCCATAACTTTACAGTACATCCAATAGGACCTATTATTTTGTTGGGGAATTTTTAAGTCAAATGTGATTACGTTGAAATCGCTCTGTATTGTTACAATATTAGCAGAAATTGAATCCACATTCCAAGAAAAACTTGGAAATCCCATGTATTTTTGTGGCTGAAAAACTGAATTGGGCAGACACAGGTTTTTATTCCTAGTTTTCTACTTGCACACAGTAAGCAAATAATTTCATATGTTCTTCATCTGCAAAACAGCAAATGGCAGTAACCTACTTTACAAAGTGCTTTGAGATATATTGGTGAAAGAAACTAATTGAAAGATTTCCTGATACTACATAAAAAGTCTTATCTCTGGAAATTACTCAAGGGTCTTCAAATCTTCATGCAAGCAGCTTACTCTGATTTAAATATGTTCCTTAAGAAACTGATTCAGTTAAATCATTGCAAATTCTGTGGTACAACAAGACCAAAGAAAAAGCCTGAAGCAATAAGTAGGGGGGAAAGGGAATGCATTTGTAGGTCAAACAGTGTAGGGCAAAATTTTCTGAAGCAAGCACTTCAGTCTCAATCAGTTCTCATTAGCTTTCACCTCTTCCTGTTTCAGCTTCTGATCACATTGTACAAATGAACGTAGCAAGTAACAGCAAACAAGGTCCAGCCTTTCTACCTGAAGCTAAACTACACATTATTGTGTGCTGCAATATAAACCATATCTGAAACTTTTAGTAGATTGTGTAGGCATGGAAGACAGTTAAAAAGAACTGAGGAACAACCTGTGCCAGACATGAACTTCCTACTGTATTTTAAAGTAAAGATGAATCATTTTGGCAGCAGTTCAAAACCTAGCAGTGGGTGGAGGGGGAGACTTAGCCTGAAGGATAGATGGTGTTGTCACTGTCATCCTTCCTCATAGTTTTGTCTGGAACAGCTTAAGAGCCTTTTCAGCAAAGCATGCTGAATCAACTTATTCTTGGCCAGCTCAGTTTGCTTTTTGCTGAGCCCAGTGCAGGCAAAGAGGAGGGTGTGACCAGTGCAGCCTCTTTTTTCTGCAGACTTCCTAGCCCCTTGTCATAGTTTCTGCTACCCAGAAGTAGTTAAAATTGAACTAGTTTGAATTAAAATTGCATTCATAGCCTAGGTTGTCTTGTGATAGGAGTTGTAGCTTGTGCATAGGAGTTGTGCATGTTCTTTAAGTGCAGAAGAACTGTGTTATTCGCTATAATGCCACCACAACCCCCCATGTCTGACTCATATATCAAAAAAACTATTAGAGATTAAAAATATTCATGTGGGGTTTTTCTGCTGTAACTAGAAGACAGAATAAGTACCACAGGATGTAATGACCTAGATGAATTAGTTAAATCCTAGATTACTTTCTATTAATTTGTGTGCTAAGTACATGTGTTTGCAGCAAAGAAAATTAAACATTCTGCTTTAGATGAGTTGATAAGCATTCCTTTAAGAGCATTTTGATGCTTGTATCTAAGAGAAACAGTATTTTAACTGTGGTCAATGACATTTAGACTAAGAAACACCGGACACAAGATCTTTCTCTTCAAAACATTACTTGCTGGAGCAAAGAGAAAGGCTAAGATACGACATGGAAGTCCTTTTATAATTTCACAAGGAAGTGGGCCTATGCCTAGTGTCCAGAGTAGAAGATATAATTTCCAGCTTAGGCCATGATTTTTCTGAATGATAGTAAGTTGTTTCACTTGCCTGTGCTTTAGCAGTGGTTGTTATACAAATAGAGCATGGATATTCAGAGAATTACACTGTTAAAAGTGTAGAGCAACCTAAACAGTTCACCTAACAGTGAAATCTGTGTATCAGGAGATCTTTGTATCACTATTAACATACAACACACCTGTCAGAGAAAATGACACACAAAATTTTGATTTATCAGAAGCACCTTTCATTCTTTAAGAAGTTCTTCTGAAAAGTTCTCATAGGGACAACATTGTGAATCATTAAAGCTATGCTTTGGGAAAGAGAGGACACAGATGTTGCCTTCACTGGGCCTAGGGACCAGGAGTGCAGGGGACAATAATGGCAGCAGAATCCTTCCCCCATCCCTGGAGTTTAACCATTAGGGCCATGGCTCCACGCCTGGTGCTCTGAAAAACCTTAGCTGAGATTGCAAAAGAGAAGTAGACAGATTTTCCCTCTCTAATTATTGAGCCTCTGTATATCCCCTTCTAAACCAACGAATGCCAAAATACTCACGAAATTGTATGGTAAGCTTAGGCTTACTAGCAACATTTTCATTCATACTTTCCCATCTCCTGCAACAAGACTAGAATGCGAGACAGCAGTGGAATTCAGACCTCTGACCTTCTGAATATTCACAATGAACATGCCTTGAAAGCATCATACACTTCAATCTCAGGACAGCTTTTGTTGTCTTTGGTGTGGTACAATAACTAAAATAAGATGGTTGGAATGCCTTTCCATGTACCAAAACAAACACCTTCACATGGTTCTGTAACATGCATCTGCACCAAATACACTGTGGTTGTGGTTTTATACAGATTGTTTGACATGTTTATAAAGCTAGTCTAAGTTTCAGATAAAAATCATTATTATTCCAAAAAGTAACAGTTTATCTCATGCTTTGTTGAGAGCAGGGGAAATATAAATATTTTCTGTTTATAGCTATGACTTTGGCTTTCTTGACATCATAAAAATATACTGGAATTTAACTTTTCTACCTTAATTTAACTTTTCTACCTTCAATACTTTAAAGAAGAGAGAAGGATGGGGAAGTCAAGAGTTTATGAAACATACCTCTTCAACATGCTGTGATATCATCAGTGATAGTTTTAGAATGGAAAATAAGAACCAAAGACAATACTAAGAAAAAAATATTGCACGCAAAGAATTTTGTATTTATTGACCGATTTAAATAAATGTTCACATGAGTTATAGAAATAGTCCTGTTCTATTTTAGATGCAAAGAAGTTGTTTTATGCCATTTATATTAGGGGAAATTCTGCATTTAAAAAATAGGATTTTTCTACTTTCTGCAGGCTTTTCCAATTGGCCATATTCTTCTTTCCTAACTTTCTCCAGTGATACTTTTCAGATGCTCTTCAGCTTTCTTCAAACACTGGATTACTTAATATGGTAAAAAGATGAGCTGTGTTGTTCTTTGATACCTAGACACTCAGGAGTAGTGTATATCCCCAAATCCTACAAAATCTGAAAGAAAAGTTCCTGGTGGACACATATAGTGTTCCAGGGAACTATATTTCTTATTGGACCATTGTGTTGAAACTGAAGATTCCCACAATTTAAATCTGAGTCTTAAGAATCTGGGGGGATTTTTGGAAATTTGGAAAAGAAAGGGACTCTAGTCAGGGAAAAAAAAGAGATAGCTATATACTGCTTAAAGATTCAGCAGATGACAATCTCCTCTACTAAAATTTAGTTGGCAGGACAAGAGAATAAAGGATTGACCTGAATTAGAAAGGTGTTTTAATGTATTAAGAGAAAGGTACCTTTCCTTAAGGTTTAATGAGTTTACACTTGGAGATTAATGGATATGGAAAGGTAGGCTTTTCTCATATTCAAAGTAAAATATTGCTGAAGTAATGTGCAAGTACTTCTACTGAACTAAATCCAAATAAATCTGAGTTCTCTGTGAAAAAGAAGGAATATATATTTAAATCTGAGTTCTCTGTGAAACAGAAGGAATATATATTATCACAATTAATAGTAAACATGGCAAGTTAGAATATTCAAAGGAATTTGAAAAAAACTTAGAAAGTTCTGGGTTTAGGAACTTAAAAATAAGAGGGAGCATTATTTTCTGAATTTAGTATCATCAGTCTACATTTTATTTTTACATTTAGTAAAATGTAAAAATACTCTCCATACTTCATATATACATGAGTATATTTCACTGGAGGCTGAAAGAAGTTATTAGAAAGTGGTTGCAATTGTTCTTACTGTAGACTGAAAGGTATGTTACCAACCTATGAAGGATCCTTTGTTCTAGTTTAACAGAGCAAACAAATAGTTATAATCTCAAGACTTCCATGAGTAATACGTAAAAGTGTTAATACACATTCTTATCTTGGATAAAAATTAAAGGAGAGACTGTTCTCTTGAAGATAAAGCAGACCGTGCAGCTTATAATTAAGATTAAATTAAAGAAATCAATATAATGAAATTGGTGAATATTTGTAAACAAGATCACTTTTCAAATCTCGTGTCTAGATAAATGCAGCATCTCAGAACCATGTCTTTGTTAATAAAATTTAAGAGAAAATGGTGACATTTGTTTTTTAACTGATCTGACTTGCACTGTTAGTGTCAAGCACAGAAAACTTGATTAAGGCACTGTCCTTGAAAAGCAGTTACACAACTAACTGGAAGTGGCTTGCCTGGATAATACCTTCAACTGTAAGTTGTCAGTTATGCGCTGGAGACTTGCAAACCTTTATTCAAAATCTGAAAAGTTTTGGCTTAAACCACAAAGAACAAGGAAGATAGGCAATCAGTCAAAATAAATTGTGTATCCTACCTTGGCAAGCATTAGAGTAATGTCCCCTCCCAAATCCACACAACATATTCTGTGAAGGTCATTCCTTGCTTCTCCAAAGCCTTTCATATTGCAAACATGCAGAGCATTTGAAGTCAGCTCAGCTTTGTACCCTGATAATACTTTTAGGTTACATCAGTGAGATGAAATGATCAAAATGAAAATTGCAAAACCACAAAATCTAATCCAAATCCATTAAAGAAGCAGCATATATATGTAACACAAATATGCATGGTATTTGCATGTATTTATATTACATGAAAAACAACTTTGCCAATGTCAAAGACCATCAACTAATACAACAGCAATTTTCTGTGATTTCAGTATGTAACAAAAGGATGGTGAGCATGCAGAAAAGAAAGGATTTTTCTATTCATGATTTATTGATAAGATTAGTATCCAGACGTCATAAAAATTACAAATTAATTCGGTGTAGCAAAGGAAGCTATGATGTAGAACAGCTAGAGCTCTATAAATGACAAACCTCAGGAACAGCAATCAGATTCAACAGCTACGCTTATATTATGGGATAGAATATTTAAAAAAATATCAGTAAAGTAGAACTCAAGAAAGGTCAGAAATTTGTTTTGCAAAAATATATTTCATTTCTTTGTATTTCTTTTGGAGCCAGATTTTCATAACTTACAAAGATAAGATGATTGATTTTAATACCAATCAAATACTAGAACTGAAATGTTACTTTCCTCAGAACTCTCCAGTGTAATTTTCTCTTTCCAGAAACCACATGGGAAACTTTTTTATGACTCCTGGACTCTTACTTACATATGCACAGAAAATGTTGAAAAAAAAAATCGTGTTCAAAACACTTTGTCACTGGATAGGCAAACGCCTAGTACTGACGTCCAGATCATATGATTTTTAAAGATGTTTGGTTTAGACGATAGCTTTGGACACTATGATTAAATGGCTTTGGAAATACTGTTCTCAGGGACTGTGACTGGCACACAAGTAATAAAATCGTGTTGTGCCAACTACACTGCTGGAGGGAATAACAGAGATTTAAAAGCCTAAGGAAAATACCATGCAACTTTTTCTAAAGTGGTGGAGATGATAAAAATCTGACTGTTTGGACATAGAGGATCCCAGAAATATTTTTAAGATCTGTGGATTCCCTGCCATTGTAACAGCTAATAGCTGTTTGATTCACTTCTACCATGATGCCAGAAAATTGGCAGACTTGGCATAAAGGGGTCACATGATGAGCTAGGCACGGATATTGCTGCTGAGTTTTATTCCCTCCGACAGCTGTGAGGTCCTTGGCAAGTCTACCTACTGGATTTAGGAAGAGGAGCAGCACTGCCATCACTGCTAGCCATCATGAATGGAAGCATAAAGACATCATGACTGGAGGGCCAGGGTGGGATGAATAGAAATGAAAAGGAGGGAGAGAAGGTGTCAGGCTGCATGCCATAACTGCACCCAGAAATGATTATTCAGATATGCACTGGCTCTGGAGAAAGCAAGCAGGGTAGTCTGTGGAGAGTGCTCCTGCCAGTTCCTTGTCCATCTGGCAATTATTCAGGGAGGCAGTTATCCAGCGGTCTCTGTCAAATTGTGTCACTCTTGTCTGCTTTTCTTTTACAGGATGCTCAAAAGGACTGTGTGGTATGTGCTGGATCAATCACACAAGACTGTTGTTTTACAGCCTATAGCCATGCTGAGTTACACCAACAAGGCTTTTAATGTTTGCTGGTGGTTGAAGGTTTATGTTGCTTTCAAGTTACTGTCCTCTAGTAACTGCAGCTGGCACTGCGTGATTCTGTTGCTGGCAGAGCAAGGGTGATGAGTAGCAGCAGAGGAAAAGAATAACTGCAGGGTCTCTTCAGTGGGAGTGAGGAAGTGGTCCTTCTTCCTTCCTGTTGAGACAAAAATAAAAGTGAAATTCTTGCATCTGTTTCTCTGTAATGGAAATCTGTAGCTTCCAGTGGAAAAAAGCTGCCACAATTTATTAAAAGCTGTGCTTCTATTTGTGTCTTTGACTCATAGAATAGAATGAATAACGAATACCTAGGCTGAAAGAGATGTAACAAGTAGCAGCAGGGTGAAGGAAAACTGAGCTATCACTGTTTTTCTGAAATGGTAGAGTTGCTTTACCCCAGAGAGACAACAGATAGTGGCGCTTACAACAGATGGAATTGCTGATCCAGGTGAGAATTATGCTGTCAACTTACTAGTCTGGAAGAATATAAGAAAAAGAGATGATGGTTGCAATAATTTTGGAAGATCTTCGTAAGTGATACATGAGAAGAGGTTTAGCAGGTTTTTCTCAGTTCATTAATATATTTCTTTTGAGAAAGGGGTTCATCTTGAAACTCAATAATATTATATCCCTCAGCCTTGTGTAATGCCTTAGGTAGATAAATATATTTGTTACACAGTTACAGTTGGAAAAAATTTAACCATGAAAGGATCATGACTTCTTCAAGGCCAGAAAATCCTCTGCAGTACATCCAAGAAGAATATCCAAATCAGACATCAAGGTATCAATATTCTAAAGACTATCCAAGGTCAAAAATGGAACTGATTTCAGTAGTTAATGCAAGATGTACAAACTAGTGATAAAAAATCAAGGGGGCAAATATACTATACAAAGACTACATTCTGGCTTGCTGAGTGCTCTGTTGCCTGTTTGTTTTTCATCCTTAAATTGCAAACTCTTTGGAAAGAGATCACCTTTTTGCTTTGGATCATATGGTAGATAGACCAAAAGGTTCACCAGTTCACGAGTAGATGCTACAGCAAAAACAATTGTTAAGTGCAAAGAATATGACTACACAATGCAGGAGCGTTATAAGTAGCATCAGCATCATTAGTTTTTAGAAAGAATCAGGGAACTGCTATTACATCTTTGGCAGAACAAGGAGGTTTAAGTACAGCTCTTTCCTTATATTACGTGTCTGACGTCTAGATCAAAACATCACCCTCAAATTCATGGATTTCAAAAACATTTTTAACAAAAGTTTGGTTCCATATGGACTGAAATGGGAGGGAAAATAATCTTTAAAGAGGTTTTCCATTGAAATTGTGAAGAAAAGCATAAGTAAAACATTAAGAAAAATATAAATAACAGTAGACATTTCTCGGTGTACGAGCAAAACCTCTACAATTTTCTGTAACAGATTCCAGTTTTCCCTGACATTCTCTCTCCTGAGAAGTGGAATGGGACCCTGCTTTTCTGAAGGAAATTTCTTCTGAAAGGTACACCTGTTACGCTATAATGTAAAAATGGTGCATCAGCAAAATAGCAAAGCATTTCTACAGAAAACAGTGATGCCAGCAGATTTTCAGTAGGACCTAGGAAACAAGCATGAAAAAGTCCTCAGATTGGTCCTCATTTAGTTTCTTGACTTTTCCATTACACAGAGGAGCAAACAGGAAAGGATTTTGGCTTAGGAGCAGGTTTGTTTTCCCTTTATCACAATGGAAAGAATGAATAGAAGATCAAGGTGGGGATAAGTCTTTCTACACAGACTAACAAGATAGGGAGAATCCAGCTTGTATACAGTATTAAAGCACTTTTTGCATGTTTAGTCAAGACCAGAAACTATGGACTGTGTTATCTCTCATATTTATTCTGTTTGTTCATGATGATGCCTAGGTTATGTATTCAGGGGCACAGCAGATTCCTATCTCTAGCATGTTGAAAGTTGTTGATTATTCATTACACTGTTACAAGTTTTGTGCAACAAGGAAACTCCTTGGCTTGCAAAATCTTAGTGTGTTCCCAAACAGAAGTTCCTTTGTGTACAACAGTAGATGTTCCAAATATTGCACGATGCTAATTTGAGGCCAAAGGCCTCTGTTTCATAACAAACCCTGGGTGCCGGTACTTGTGATTGAAAACTGCTAAAAGTTAGTCTCACATTACCTTCTAGAGCTGTGTTTTAGACAGACTGAGGAATAATCTGTGCAAGAGGTAACTATCTCTCAGAGCTCTTCAGTATGTTTTGTACATTTTTGTCCAATCAGCTCAACTCCTTCACTTTTTGGTGCAAAAAAAATTTTAAGAGCAAATGAGAAAACAGAGATGTCAATCAACATGTTCAGTTTCTGATTTCAAAGTGGTAGAGCCTTTACACTGTGCATAAATCTGTGTTGCATGCCAGCAATGCACTATGTAGTGTTCTGGAGTGAGGAATGGAGGGTGGGTTTTATTAGCCACTATGCTTCCTTCTCTGGTCAAGGCACTGTGGAGAAACACATTTGAAAAAATAAGGTGAATATAAGGATTACAGGCAGAATGTAATTTATTAGAATTGAAATTCAGCAAGTAATCAAGAGATAAACAATCATTATAAGGCATGCCATGCATTTTTAAATGACAGAATAGTAAGGGTTTTCCACTTTGCACCTTATCCAAAAGTAACTCAAAACCTTGACAGCACTGGCCTTACTCAAAAGGCAAAGTAATGCCTTAGCAGGAATGGTGACAGCACCTGTCTCCGTTCAGCTATTTCTTACACTGGTGCCTCCCACTGTCCCTGTATTTTATGTTTTGCCTTGCTCTTAGCAGCTTTCCAGAAAATGTTTCATTTCAGTGCATACGCATATTCCTCAGTACCCCACTGCCACTCCGACATTTTCCTTCAATTTCCTGTTGCCTTCTCCCTTGTTGGAGTCTTGGCACTCTGGGAGAGCTGTCCCCTAGAACTGTCATACACACTGTATGCCCCCTTACCTCCTAGATTAATTTTTATTGAAGATATACTTTTTCTTCTCTGTGTTCTAGTCCATCCAATTGCTACTCAAAGGGATATTCCTCTTCAATGTGATATTTATAAAATATCTGAAGTCATCTTGTTCTGTTTAGATGTCTTTAAAAGTATAGGGTTTTGTGTGGTTATTTTCTTTCCTTTTTCCGTGAATGTGATTTTAGGAGAGGAATATTTGAAAAGATATAACAGTACAGTGATTTGCATGCAAATAATTTCATGCTGTGTCTACAAAGCAGATACTTTGTTATCTTATTGCCATGAGTACCATTCTCCCTTTGACAACGCATCTTGGTCTAGGAATCTTCCAGAAAACTGTCTCGAATTTATAGGAGAGGCTTCAAAGACTTAGGAGAGGCTTAGTGTCAAATGCTGCCTTTATGAAACTCAGAATTCATTTACATCTGTAAGTTGTACTTTACAAGAGAATATTAGATGATCTGTTTATCCCAAAGAAATCATACTTGAAAGATGACAATGAATGCAACTGACTTTTTCACATCACCTTTCACCTGCACAAGGATGGTTATAGTATCTTTACAGACCACCTAAATAATTCACTCAGTGTGCCCTCAAGGCCTTACCTACTGATACTATTCTGCAAATATATAGAGTGCAAAGAACGTCCTCAGGTTATTGTCTAGAGGGGAAAAACCTTTTCCTATCTGCTCACCACATCCTCCAGCAAAGACCCTACATTTAGGTCAGCCTCTGATCATATATATAAGACAAGAAGGAATCTGCTTCTGTTATAAGGTAATTCTCACTCAGCTAGGTGCTTCAGATCAAATCACGGATCCCAGCAAATCGACCACATTAATAATCCCTGTTGAGACGCTGAGTTAATGTTGCACCTAACAAATTCTGAGAAATAAGCCTGAAATATTCAGCTTAAGTACTTTGAACTATGTGACTTCTACTGTATCTAAAAATCACACCATCCTGAAAACAACTTTGTATGCATAGCAATATTCATTTTTCCTTTTCTTATCTCATATCAGAAAGCAAAATCACCCCGATGTGGTCGAGTGAAAATCCCGACAAGTAGAAAATTTACTTGAACCTCCCCAAGGTTAGAGTCATGTGATGTCTCCTGCATTTCTTCTCTCTCGCAGTCTCTCAGGAAACAGCCGCAGCGGTAGGTGTGCGTGGCAGGGTATAATCTCATCTACATGTGCATTCCTGCGCACACATGGAGGCGGGAGTGCTCCGGCGAGACATTAACGCTTCTCCGTGGTTTACAGACATGGAGAAATACCTGAGGACAAGGGGAGCGGCGCCGGCCAACTGAGGGCAGCCCGGAGAAGGACGCGCGGAGGCTACGAGCGAGGATGTGTATGTAATTTCCTACTGACTCCAGAGAGGGACGACCAGGTGAGCTGGGGCACTTTGGAGAGGCGATTCCTCGGCTGCATGCAGCGAGGCAGCGCGGGCGCTCCGCTCCTCCCGGCCCCTCGCCGGCTGCCAGGGAAATGCTGTGGAGAGGAGCGGCTCAGGTTACGGGGGAGCGAGCTGGGAGCGCTCTGAGATCCGGGAAAGGCTTCTCCGCGCCTCGCACGGGACGGGATGGGGCAGCCCAGTCCAGCCCAGCCGGCCGGCTGTACCCCGCTCCGGGGCCACCGGAGCCTCCGCCGCTCTCCCGCACATGGGGAGGGCCGGTGGGGGCGGGGCCGCGCTCCTCGCGTGGCGCCTCCACCGGCTCCCGGGCTCGGCTCGGCCGCACGGACGGACCCCGTCCGGCTCCAGCTCCAGCCACGGCCAGACACAGCGCCAGGCCCAGCCCCGCGGACCAGGAGCAGCAGCAACGGTGGCGGCGGCAAGCGACTCCCGCCCAGCTCCCTCCCCGCCCCGACACCTGCGCGGGGGCGGGCGGGGCGCGGCCCCGCGGCACCTACGGGTGCGGCCCCGCCCCCGGCGCCCGCCGCCGCCAATCCGCGCCCGCCGTCCGCCCCCGCCCTACGCCGTTTGCGCAGGCGGCGCCGTTTGCGCAGCGCGCTGTCCGCCGGCGGCCCCCGGTGCTCGGGAGCCCGATGTGACCCGACAGAGAAAATGGCGGCGGCGGCGGGGGATCGCGCCTCGTCATCGGGATTATCCTCGGGCAGCGGCGCGGAGGCGGCCGCCGCCGCCGCCTGCGGGAGCCTGAAGGGCGGCGCGGTGGCGGGGAGCGTCGCCGGCAGCGGCGGGGGGCTCTTGCGGGAGGCGGGCGGCGGCGGCGGCTGCCGGGAACAGCGCTCTGACTGGAGACGGAAGCAGCTGCGCAAAGTGCGGAGCGTGGAGCTGGACCGGCTGCCGGAGGCGCCCCTCTTCCTCGCCGCCGCCCCGGCCGCCTCCTCCTCTTCCTCCTCCTCCTCGCCAGAGCCCCCCGAGACGCTGCTGCTCCACTACCTGCCCGGGCCGCCGCGCTCCAGCCCCGCCAGCCCGGCTGCCTCCCCCAGCCGCTGCGCCGAGCTCCTGGAGCCGCTGCCGGCGGGGACCCTGGCGGGGACGGACCCCGCCGCCGAGCGGAGGATGGAGCCGTCCCCGGCCGCGAGGTGAGGGGCGCCGGCGGCTGGAGGGGCGGGCAGGGGTCGGTCCCGGCGGGCGCTGCGTGACAGCGGCGGCGTCGGGGCTGTTCCCGCGGACGGGGCTCGGGGCGGGCTCCGGTGCCCCGTTCCCCCCGGCCGCGGGCCGGTAGCGGATGCGGGGGCGGCGGGAGCTGCCGCGGAGCGCAGCGCTGGGGCGCGGCGGGCAGAGCTCGCCCGCCTTCCCCCGGGGCACCTGGTTCGGGGCGGAGGGAGGGGCACGGCCGGGCCGGGCTGGGCTGCCCCGCCGGCCGCAGCTGTCAGCGGTGCGGGACTGCGCGGGAGCCGAGCCGCGGGAGCGGAGCCGCGGGGGGCGGCCCCTCTGGCTGCGGGGTACGTTTGTGTTTGACTTCTGCCGGAGTCCCGAAAGGCTTTGAAGTGTGAGCTCGGGGCGGTGGCGGGGCCGGGGCCGGATGTGTCAGCAGCCATTGGGGCTCCGGGCGAGCGAGCGCGGTGCTGGGGCCGCGCTGCGGGCGGCGGCTGAGCGCCTGCCTTGGGTGCTCCCCAGGCACTGCCCGAGCACTTTGCTGCAAAACTGAGTAATCGACTTTATTGTTATTCCACCCCCCCCCCCAGCCCCCCCCCTCCCCCCCGGCCAGGACTTCTCCGAAGTCAGATTCTGATTTGCAGCGTCGCGATAATGCAGAACTGATTTCTTTTAGTAAGAAGAGGAAGGACTTAGAAGCATGAATATCCTCTCTGGTTTGTTTTCCTAGGAGAAAGTAGTTTAGTCGTGGCTTACTCTAGGTGATAAACTTAAGTGCTTATGTTCAGCGCCCTGGTGTTTGCAGTCTTTATTTGCCTTCTATACGTATTAATTGATAAGTCTGTTTTCTTGTGAGCTGCCAGTAATTCTCCTATAAGTGTGCAAGTATTCAGGATGAAAGAAAACTTACACCCATGGTGAAGCAGTTTAAGTACTTCAGAGCACATTTCAGCTTTAACATGTACTCTCTGAGTCTTACTGCTGTGTAGGCACTGCAGTATGACCATGTAATTTTGATGTGAATATGACAATTTCACCTGGATCTCTTGTAAAGTTTTATCTGATGTAGACTCTGTAGTTTAAAAACATAGTATTAACATCCGGGGACCTATTTTAGGGATGCCCTACAGTTTGGCTAATCATTTAAACCTCATAAAAATATAATTCCTGTTTGGACTAATGACTTCTAGGTTTTCTTTTCAGTTGTGTCTTATGTCAGTCAAACCTCAGGAATATTTTTAAAGGTTAAATTGCCGTGGGAGTACTGTGATAAGAACTGTTTTGTAAACCAATATTCTGTTTATATGTATTCTCAGCATTTCAGATGGATTTTGGCCTATTCCTAGGGTAGTGTAAAAATACTTGTTATGGTGTGGTTGTTCAGATAAGAAATTACTCTGTATTTACAGAAGATGTAGCAGAAAATTGTAAATGTTTTGGGGAAGGGGAATGATGTACAAATTTTAGTGAGTGCCTTGCCTTTTTATAAATTCTCTTTGCTTTTATAAAGTCATGAAATTATAATGGACTGTATATTGTAATACAGTTATATCAAGTTTTGTGGCTTTCAAGAAAAAGAAGGATCTGTATCAGAATATATAAATATATTTAAAGCAGTTGCATCTCATGGTGATAGCAAGTGGGAGTTAGACTTGATGTTAGAGGTGCAGGAAGGTCAGTGTATATCGCATCCGTGCTGAAATGCTGCGTCCATCCTTGGTAGTTGGTCCCACAGCAGCAATGACAAAGCAGCTGTGGAATTTTTTTTCCTTTTCACACTGACGGTTTTTCTTACTTTTAAGTACCTGCGTTTGGGCAAAACAGTGTATTGTGTATACAAGTTAAAATACTTTTAAGTGCTTTGTGCTATTTGATTAGGAATGTTAACAAATCTTAAAAAATACTGAATGCCAAATGCTTTTCTCTTAAGTATTTCAGTGAGTCTACTCTGAGCTTTTTATAAGTGCAGTTGAAAATACATGACTTTAACAATGATTGTCCTTCAGAAATACCCTATAAATCCTCATGTAGAGTATCTCAGTAATTCTGTGTGCTGTGTTACCTATAAAAGGGCATTAGATCAAGTTGCACTTTAAAAATTTAAAACATCTATCTGCCCTCATTTTAATATTTTATTTTTTTAATGTTTTATCTGGAGGAGAAAGGCTAATTTATATATGAGTTACAGTAATACACATTAAATTTGCCTGGGCAGCTGTTGTCCAGATATTTATTAAGAGGCAAACTGAAAGACATAATTTAAATAATGTTTTATGGGAAGGCTTTGAATACAGTTGGTTGTACTTTCCTGTAAGGATCTACTGTTACTTAGAAGATACTGTGCTTGCTCCAAAGTCCCCCTATCAGTCTCTTTGGTATTACAGTTATTTCCTTTTAAATAAATTCTCTGTTTCTGTTTATGCTGGAAGATCTTTCTGAGCCTCAAAATGAAGCTGAGAAGGGAAACTGACTGCTGTTGAATTAGAGATGTAAATATTACCTTTTTTTCATTAAGCTTAAGCATTCTGCTTGTCAGGCAGTACAGTGAATATTTTCACTAAAAGCAGTGAAGGGTGTACGCTGTCTTATGTACTATAAGAGAAGAAGGGAGCTATTTTCCTAGGAATTGGAGCTTCAACATGATAAAGCACTTCAGATCCCTTGTCCCCTATCTATTGTTTACTGTCAGTATATTTTTTTTGTTTATAATAAGATCCAAATAGTGAATTCAGTGATAACTGCAGTGTAATTTCTCGTAGCAGGAGGGAAATCCATGGAAGTAAAGTGCACCTCCTTTTCTGTGAGTTTAACAATATGCTTTTAAAACATCCAGACATTAAGTGATGTTTGTGTCTGAAATTGATGTAGATGCCTTATTACTTCCCCAAGTATAGAATTAGTTTATATTGCTGTAATCATATTTTTATAAAAATGAAAGGAAATAGATGGTGCAGATCATCTGTTCTGTGTGCAGTAACCACATACTTTGACTTCCATGAAAATTAGGTGTTTGAAAAGGCATATGCTAGGATAGTTCAGCTGCAAGGCAGCCCTTGTAGATGTTTATACTGTATTTTTCTGCAGTTGCTATTTGACAGATGCTGGAGACGCCAAAGTCACACTGTAAAACAGAAGCTTTGTCTGTATGTACATATGTACTAATAATAGCTCACCAGTTTCAGCTCTGTTTATCAATTTGTAGCACCTTTGATGACTTTCAAAGGAGGACATGAATGCTTTTAACAGAGCACTGGGATTTGGAGTGGGAACAGAGGGGGAGCACCTACAGTAACTGCACTGCATGGCCAAGGATTTTTCTGCCACTGAAATGCTAACTTTCTCTGTTCCTGTCAGAATGTAGCTATGGTAAAAAAATACAGTTTATTGTTGATCTTGGCTCTTCCCAGCTAAGGCAAAATAGAATTTTGTATTTTGTCTAAGTCTTTATTGCTCGATGTTTATAACTGTCTATGTAAATAAGCTACCAAATTTTCTGCATCCAGTTAGAGTGGATACTGCGGTAAGAGAAGATTGCCTTTCTACCTCTTCTGTGCTCTGTGGCTTGAGAGTACTTTTGGAAGAGGGTTACCCTCTACCATGTCTGATTTTTATCACTCTTAGTTATTGCAAGTTGTAGGGTTCTGCTTAAATGGTCTGATTTGATATGGCAGTTTCTTTGTTCCTGTGCAAAGTAAATAGATTGTAACTAACTAATCTGGAGCTTTCTGTCTCATTGGATTTAGTGATACTAAAGGTTCAGTCTCTACTGTCACTCAGTGGAGTCTAAGTACTGCTCAGTGCAATACCTGTGTGTAGACATGTGCAGTCATATTTTACCCAAAGGTCGAACATGTAGAGCACAAGATTTGGAGACCAATTTTTCCTCCTCTGTGATGGATTTGAACTTCTCTAGACCTTTTAGTGTACTTACACTTTCAAAAGTAATGTTGCAGCTGTGTAGTGATTTACGCTGCTGCAGGGGAGCATGAGGCAGAAGTAGAAACAAGCATCTGGGGGTGGAATGACTGTGGGAATGCTTCTGTTGGCTTTCCCTGGCTTCCAGTATTGGTGAAACTTGGCTTAAGCTTGTTTAAAATACAAATTATATGTTGCCATGTAGCAATTTTTTAAATAAACTCGTAAAGCTAGTTTTCAGCAGAAGTGGTGATAAGAGGATGGATCTGGTTTGAGTTCTGAGTTTCCAAGCCTAATCTGAGTGTTCTCGGAGGATTCTCTGCAAAGACCTGAGGGTCATTCTTAATTTACATTTTATCTGCTGTGTGCTCACTTAAAGCTCTAGAATTACAGTTTGTTCTTTTGCTTAAGGCAAAGTGGACAGAAATCCTTTTAAAGGGCTTCATTAGTTGTCTGTGTGTGACTAGGAGAACGTGGTTAAGTGGAGAGTTGCTTTCTGTTGCTACCCTCCCTTTTTATCTTTGCCCGGAGGCTGAGTGTATTGCCTGCAGGGTTGCTTCCGCTTTCCAGTCTCACAACACCACACAAGTAGAACTGGAGAATTCTCTTTGGTGCTGAAGTGTCTTGACTATTTTTTTCCCGTATGTTTGGAGTTTTGAGGGGGTTTTAGTGTGTTTTGGTTTGGGGTTTTTTTTTTGGGGGGGGGAAGGAGCTGGGGAGTTTGTGTGGTTTTTTTGGTTTTTTGGTCTGTTTTTTGGCTTGTAGGTTTTAGGTTTTTGTTGAATTTCGGGTTTTTTTTGTTTGCTTTATTTTGTTGGGGTTGTTTGTTTGTTGGTGTGCTTTTAGAAGATCAGTTTTGTTGGATCTTGGCTGTAAAATGTCCTGAGAGCACAGCAGCTCTACTTGCTTGCTACTTAAGAGCAATTTGAAACTGGAAATTCTTTACCTTCTGTCTGGAAGTTGATGAAATAGCTTTCAAATTGTCTTAATAAAAGGTGATCGAGACATCACTCCCTCTCTTTTTGGATTATTAATGTCCAGTTGTTTTGATAGTGTTCAGCACGTGAAGATTTTAAGATGTTTGCAAAAAGTGTTTTTTTTTCTTTAAACTTAGAATGTCATAGAATATTCCTATTTCTGAGATTAAACTGTAATTCAAGTCAGTCTGCCTTTGTTTCACACTTTCTCCATATATTTCATTTGTGTCCCTGAAGTATAAACTATTGAAGTCATTAATGGAAATATAGCATAGTACTGTCAGTTCTCATCTCTCTTGTCCTAGTATTCTAGTTGGTAGTTAAATAACTGCTAATGTGATTATTATGCTGGACAACATCAGTTCTTTCCTAGTATTTCCCGTCAATAGATTTCACCCAGTTCTTGGTACTGCAGCTCCTTGTAACTTGCCCAGGGTCACTGTGGAAGGTGGAAATAGAATGCTGGGAAGTGACTTGCATCTGCTTGACCTCACTGACATCTGACCACATCTGACATCTTGTTTTCTGGTCTCTTCCCCATCCTATTCTTGAGCCTCTAGTCGTCTTGCTTTTGAGCAAGTTGAAACCAGTTCTTATCAGCTGTCAGCAGTGATGATCAGGTACTTTTGGGAGCTGGTAGTTCACCCTTAAAGGTGTGCATATATTTCAGTAGTTATTTCTCTGAAAGACTGTCTTACACCCTGATGATTTTTGCAGTCTTGTATAACTGTCATGTTTCTATCTCCAGGGCTGTTCCTTTCAGATGCTGAAAGAGCTTGGTCTAAATATTTAAAATGCTGAAGGGGAAAAAAGCCCCTAACCCTAATCTGTCATAACAAAGTGTGAAACAACTTCGGGTTTTTTTATACAAATTTTGTGTTACCTCGCATTCTACTGCTAATAAAATGTCTGCACAATATTATTCTAAAATTCTAGTATTCTTTAAAAGGGAAGCTTCTAAGCTCAGTGGATGATAACGTCTCCCTCAGATAATATATAAGTGCTCTGCACTTGGAAATGTATACACAAATGTAAATATCTGTCAAAGGTGTGGTAAATCTGTGGGATTCTGTGTGAAACAAGCATTGACATCCAATTTGCTGTTCATGAACAGTTTATCCAATTTGTCAGATTAAGACAATCTAACAGGCTAGTGTTTGTTTACCATCATAGCTAAGACAATATTCTAATTGCTTTGAATTATGACACTGCTTTTAATTTCTGTTTGCTGGATGTATAGTTTGAAAATTCTTGTGTAGTTAGGGACAGTTTCTCCGTTTATCAGTATTTTTCTTTTTTTTATTACTTGTTTCATGGTTCTAGACAGTAGAGTTGCAAGGTCTGATATTAATAGTCTTTTCAATCTTTTTTCCTCTGGTTTCACATTTTAACTTTAGCATTAGGTCTATAATTAGTGTCTTAAATCTTTCCATAAATAAAGATCTGAAATGTTTGTTATTTCACTAAAGGAAATGCCTCTGCAGAAGTCTATGCTGTGATTACAGATGCCTTTGCTTAATATGAGAAATTACTGCAGTTTTGATTAGCATGGAAGCTTGCTGGGACAGTGTTAATGTATTCTTTAAAACTTGGAAAGGATTTTCCATATTAAGGATCGGTATTGCATATTAAATTTGTTACTTTATTCATATAAATAAAACATAGGGAATGGCTTCTGTAGTTGGGTGAAGTTCTTTCACAGTTCATGCTTGAAATGGAAATGTGAAGAATTAGTTCTTTAATTGTGTGGAGCTGGGTGGAGTTACTCTTAAAACTGTACTACTATGCATAAGTTTATTTTTAAAAAGATAATTCAGTAATGCCTTCATATAGATCCAGAAAATGGCTTCTCCTGTAAAGCTAGAATTAACATTGACTTTTTTAGGTTTTTAACTGTAAATTCTGCATTGATTTGTAATGAACAGCTTATTGCAGTGTGTCTCCTGGTCTCTGCAGGCAAATTGAATGCCCCAGCCTGTAGAAAGTGCGAGGGCTTTGGGGTTTCTACTAGATTTTCCATGGTGTGGAAACATTTTCTGTAATGCCCAGTGAATGCAGCCAAACTCTTTACTATCTACCTGGCAGGGGTGGGCGGTGGTTTCTGGCAGGGTCACAGTAACCAGGATAACTTGCTTTCTCTTTGAACCTCCGAGGTTAGGGCTGGGGCTGGTGGCCTCGGACGTTCTGCTCCACACAGCCTTGTTTACACACTTCCTCAAACATCTTCCTGAAGTTAACTAAGTCAGAGTTTGTTCCCTGGAGAAGAATTTGTTCTTGAGTTGCAACTGCATGTTTCTTACCCTTCCCAGAGGCTGGGGAGGAAGAGCAGGGGTACATGGAAAAGAGATCTTAAAGACATGCAGATTGTTCTGCATTTGCTTTAAGCCAGTAGTACAAGAAGAGGGAGAAGAAGCTCCTGCTTCACCTCCCCTCCAGCCTTGTGGACAGGAAAGCATGAAATGAGACTGCTTAAGCCATGCAGAGCCCTGACAGGGAGCAATGCAGGTGGCCTTCAGGGTTGTCATTTTAGAAATGCCTTGTGCCATACCAATATGGAAAAGTTTGATCTCTTTGGTTTTTCTCACTGTGAGGATGAACATGTGGGCTGAGTGCCCTCTTTTTGTGGTAAGAGGGCACGTAATAAAATAGTAAATATTTTGGATTCAGCTAAGATGTCTTCCATCTTCCGTGTCTTTCAAAGTTGTAAGGTGCTTTCATGTAAGGATGTGTTCAGCATTGTAAACCAACATACGCTGATACACTCAGCAAGCTGAGTGAGAAAAGATATGGATTGACAAAGTGTTCAACTTGGGAGATTCGTGCCTGGTTATTGCATTTGGCTTATGCTGCATGCCAGCATCCTCTGTTCTATATAGTTACTGTTGTCATTAATTTCTGCTGTATTTCTGGTATCAAGGGATTCAATTCTTAAAAAGAATGCTTTTTTCCTTGTATAGACACTTCAAAACCCAGTGGGTCCAAGTTGACTCTCTTAGGAATGGAAAATACAGGAAAAAGGCTTAGAAGGTACCAGAGTAGTAATGTAAAAAAAAAGTTCAGTGTTCCTTGTACCTGAGTTGCTCATTATTTTAGCCAAAAAAGAATTTCTCAGTCTGAGGGAGTTTTTTTATTCCACAAAAGGAGAGAAGTCAGGATTTGAGGACTCCTAGACCCTCCTGCAAATCCTGTCTCTTCTACAGTACAAGACGGACTTCCCTTTCTGAAGGAAAAAAAAATTGTTGGAAAGGTTTGATCTGAACATTGCCCGTTGACATGTCCATGAAAAAGGTCTTGATGACATCTCATTCAAATGTTTACTGTCTGTTCCAAATAAAACAGTGACAGTAATTTTCCTTGGCTGTTGCTCTTTGGGATACAGTTTACTAATGTCACAAACCTTTGTGAACACTGGCATTTCTCAGAAAAATAGTGTCTTTAACCAGGCTTTAATTCGTGATAGTAAACTAATGAAACTGCTTACTGTTTGTCTTTCTAAACTCATTCGAAGTACAGTTATACTTAATCTTGAAATCATTATTTATATTGAAAATCCTGAAATACAGATTAGCTCTTTTTGAGAAGTTAAGTGTACGTATGGTAAGCAGAACAGTGCTACTGAATTGTGAGATTTGTCTTTTAAGCATGTGGTTAAGTTCCAGCATGTTCAGGTACAATGGTAAACCATCTTGTCCCGGTAAATGTGCTGAAGTATTTAATTCTCCCTGGTGTCTCAGCAGTAAATTAGTATGCTCTGTTTGCTTGTTCTGACCTGCTCTGAGTTGCGTGTTTGTGGCAATGTTTTACAGTTCTGCTGCTAGTGAGGATGCCCAGCAAAACCAAATGAAGAAGAATTGCTTTGACATTTTGAAATCAGCTACATATGAATTGCATTCCTTTATTTTAAAATTGACTGGAAATGAGAATATAGGTCCAGTGCCAGGGCAAGCCACTTGTAGACCCTGGGAATCAAGACTGGAGGGGAGAGAGCACAGCCAGAACTTTTAGATTTTTGGCTTCTTTTCAACCTACCGGGTGGACTGTTGAGGAACTAGCAAGGGGAACTAGTAGGAAGTCTGCCAGTTTCTGTCATGTAGACAGATTTCCATAGGAGCTTCATCAAAATAGGTCTTTCACTTTTTCGGCAAATAGTTTTTTGAAAGTATTTCTTCCCCGGAAGGAACTTAGTTGTATGCATTAGTATTTCAACTGTATTTAACGTACTTGCATGTGTGTAAGTGATTGAAAACTAAATAGCCATAAATAGTAGGACTTAGACAAAAACTCCGATTTTAATCTTGTGAGTGAGCCTCTAGCTTAAAGCCTTAAACAGTGGTGGAGCCTCATAGGCTTTATTGGTATTCTTAGCGAGCAAGTGTTCACTTCATGTGCATCTATTGTATTAGTAATATTGGTATCTTAGCCTGAAATAAAACAAGGTATTTATCGCCAAGTGGGTGACTGACTAGTGTGGGCTCTGTTCAAAACGTAATTTCCACTTCAGAGGAAAATCTGCACCTAAATTTACCACTGTGGCCATCTTGGAGTTACATGTGACTGTCTGGGTTCTGAGTGAGCTTTCTCTGCTCATCAGCTCTTAGTAGCAGCTGGCAGCAGGATGAAGCTACCATAGTTGTACTCACACTGGCTAGGTAAGTTCTTCGCACTTTGTGGCACTCAGCTGCATAAAACTTTTTCCAGGGCTTGTAAAGTTAGCAGGTTGGACTGCTTCTGATGCTTCAGGCACTGCATACCTCTGTAGAACTTCAGGGGGAAAAAGAAGGGTGCAACATCTGGTTATGGAGTATGTGCTACAAACTGCAAGACTTCCTGGCTGTAACAGAATCTACATAGGAATGTGTGGTTCAATTAGCACACTTAAGTTGCTTTAGCCTGGGCTGAGCTGATAGTGTTTTGATAAATGCTGATTTGTTAAATACCTAAAACTCATGGATTTGTCATGATTAAAACCTGGATTCAAAGGATATAATGGTGAAAGTGGTCAAAAGTAAGACTGTTTCTTTAATGTTTCTAGGACCTTTAGCTATAAATAGCTATACTTACAGAGCTATAAGGTTTTGAAAAAAAAACCCGTTTGTTTCATCCAGCTTATTGGGAAATAATTCGGGTCTTTCATTAATGGTTGTGAGGGGAAGGACTAATGAGCAAATTTGCCTTCTCTGGTTAACATTGGTTCAAAAACTACATTAAGTTTCTCTGATCATAAAGCCAAAAGTGCTAAAACTTGGATTTGCACAGCTACTAAGGTGGAGGACTGATTTATACTATAGCAGCATTTTCAGAGATGTGACGTGTTATCTGTACGAAAGAGCTCAACTGGTTATACTACTTAGGACCAGCTCTGTTCTTCCCTTTGTGGGAAGAAGCTCCCTTTCCCTCGTGTTAAGGGAGCTGGTGCCTTAGGAAGGATACTCTTTTTTCCATTAAGTATTGTCAGTTAATCTCTGGTTGACAAGACACCATTGCCTCCAGATCTCAAAATATTTGTGCATCAGACATGATGGCAAATTTCTGATTTGGTGAAGGTACAGAATAGGCATATGAATTTTGTGCTATTAACATTTTAAAAACTACTGGTTTTTGCTTGAAACCACAAATAATTATGCAGTCAAGATTTTCAATGTAGCTATTATCAAGTAAGGTTTTGGCATTTTTCTTAACTGTCAGTCTGCCCAATCTTTCCTCATGTTTCTTTATAATCACTTCGGAGGAGGAAAAAAAGCTCTGTAGAACTTGCTCTTTTTCCCCCCTTAAGCTCATTTTAGAGAACCAGCATTTCACTTTATCTCCTGAAGTCCCAATGTATGCTTCATTGCATTTCTGAATCTCATTGTGAAAAGACCTGCATTTTGATACTTAAAAGGAAATAGGAAATGAGACAATATGGGTCTAGCATACTCCCTTTCCATGTTCAAATAAATGGCATGTTTTTATAACTGGGAGGGGATGAAGCTGGCTCTCACAAGGGAAGTGGTTAGTTCTTACCATGGTGACTTTTGATAAGGATTTGTTGGGCTACTGTATACTTATTTGCACTTGCTAAAATAATATATAATTACAGGATTTAAAATTCTTAACCCTTTCTCTGTAACTGCATTCAGTGATTGTGAGTGGGCAGCCAAGGAATAAGAATTGAGAACTCTGCTATATCATATTCATACAGCAGCTTGTTTCTAATCCTATGTAGGTGCATGACTGGCTGGCTAATACTTGACATGGACACACTAAGCAAGTATGGGAAGTGTGTCTTCTGAAAGTGGTCACCTTCCCTGTGGAGAGTATTCAGAGTTTGTGTTATGTATCTGAGTATTCCTAAGGCTGACTATGCAAATCCCTTTTGGTTTTCCAGGACAGGATTATGTGACAGTGTGTTCTTCACCGGTCCCAGGCTACAATCAGCCTTGTTCCAACGTTTCAAAGGCATGTTTTCTTTCTGATGTCTGCATGGACTTGGGGCTCTGTCACCCCTTTGCTTGTCCCAGGTCGCCTGACATTTTAATGTAGCAATTAATTCAATGGGTCACAGTGAAGACATGAGTCTTCAGCTTCTAGTTCACAGTCAGGTCACTCCAGTACCTAGTAAAATATTAACTTGCTAAGAAAAGTATTTCCATAAACAGTCCATTAGTAAGTCACAAGGTTACGACTCATTTCACATGCAGACTTTTCCCCAGTTATAGTTACACCAGTGTGTCCTGGGAACTAGTTTTTATTTCTGGACTTTTATATGTTTTTGTTGTTTCATAATGATTTGAAAAGCACTTGCACACCTCCTTAAAGAAGTGAGACTGCTTTCCCAGTTACTGTCCTGTATTTGAGACGCTGCTACTGTCATACAAGTTCTCATGGTAAGAAATAAAAGTAGTATGACATCTTTAGTAATCACAGATGTTTGCCTAATCTTTGAATATTTTATTAAAATTTAATAAGTTATCTGTGTGTTATAGAAAATCCTTTTTTATTATCTTAGGCATTTGTCTTATAAAGGTCTTTCAGAATAGTATGCTTTTGGCTGTAAAATGGGTGTATTACAGCTGTCTTACAGTGATGTTGGTTAAACTTTTAAGATGTATGATCATGTGTTGATTTGATGTGAGTCCTTTTGTAATCTCTGAATATGTGCAAATGCCATTAAACTGGAGCACCTTCTGGAGTTGCAAGAGATATGGACATCTTTCCCTGGCTTTTTTTTTTCCTTTTGAGTAAAACTTACTTTTAGTGAAGAGAAGTAAATGAAATTAAATTGGGTTATGAAATTGTAATAATCAGACAAATTCTGGGATAGAATTATTGCTATGTCAGGTTGTTTCAATTGAGGTTGAAAGTCCTTTTAGAGAAGTCATAGCACAGTGGGGTAATCACAAGTGGAACTCAACTCCTGCAGCTGCCACGATGTTCAGAGTTCTTGATAATTACCTGTTTAATTTATTGCTGCTTTACCTTTTCATATGCTGAATCAGTGGTGATGAGTTGCTTGGTAGCACCTCAGGGAATTCAGATTCAGTTGTTGTTACTGATTTCCTTTGAGTGAAAAATACTTCCTCTATAACAAGTGACATAATTTACCCTTTCTTAAGTTGGTTCAGTGAAATCTTGGGCTTCTATTTCCCATATTTTTATGATTTCTATTACTTATCACTTCAAGTCTTAGTTTGTGTTTCTTATGTTTAAATGTGTTGCTTTAAAGAACAACACCGTAGATTAGGCTATCCTGATTTTTTTTTTTTTTGTATGGATTCTGATATTAAATCCTCCAAATGATTATGGAAGTAAGGACAACACAAAACTGAGATTTCCCTTATGGTTGTGCAAAAAGTACCTATGAAACTTGAAGGAAAACTTTATTAAGGGAGATGGGACAATCTCATCTTTCCAAATAAGAATGTTCTTGAATATAGTTAGCTCTCCATTTTCTATTCACTTAATTTTGAGTAAAGGCTGCTGGCAAATACATGAAGTCACTTTAAAATCTGTAGATTGATCCAGTGAGTCTAATGCAAAGAGTGAAGAATTTGCTTCAGAAGGAATTAAACAGTAAAGCAAAAGGATAAATACTCTTTTGAGCTGTGCAATTTAGTTTTTTATTTTCTGAAGATACTTTAACATAATTGTGTATATAGAGAATTACAGAAATCAGCTCTGGATGAGTTTGGCTTCATCAAATCAAAAAAGGATTAAGTGAGTTGGGCCTCACCTGTGCATTAAGTACTTGCTGCTACTTGAAAAAGGCACAGAAACCATACCAAAACTTCAAATTCTTCTTGGATTTTTTTTATTTTTTTTTTTTTTAATATCCAGTTGGATTCTCATTCATTGTAGTCTCATTTTTAAATTTTTACTGTGAACTGTTTTTCCAAAGTAACTGTCATATCCCTTATTCAGTGATTTGGTTTTGGTGTTTTGTTTTTTCAAATACTGGAGTTTTAAAACACATTCTTGTCTTGTGTTGCTGCTTTCTAGGCTGATACACTTCTGAATGTTCATATAGAAATGAAACCTCACTTTAGTTACTAATTTTAAAAAAAATTAATTATATTTTTAATAGTTCTGAATTTCTCATGTTGTTGCTTGATTTACGTTTTCTCTCGAAAGGAATGCTTCTTCTGTTCTTTCTTTACTGTGCCATTTTTAACTAGAATTGCTTATGCTGAAAGTGAAGGTTGGTTTTGAATACGGCTGAAATACAGATTTAATGTGAAGCCTAAATTTGGAAATGGCTTTGAGAGGCTTGACATTTTTTTGGAAAATGAAATTGCCCCTTGGATACTTTCATATGAGTTGGGAAGCTATTTTAATGTGAAGGCAGGGAATGGAATAATACAGAGAAAATAGTCACTAGTAGTCTTACACCTTTTTCAGAAATGTAGTGCCCTTTTTTTCCAAAGCTGACAGTGGGAACAAAGCATCAGAAGAGTGCATTTATCAGCCAGTTTGCTTCAAGTGATGTGGTTTATTCTGACTTGTTAGGGAATGAGTACACATTATTAAATGCTACTTACTTTATTACTTTGAAGTTGGAAATAGTTAAGAATCTTCCAAGAATAATGCAGAAAATTTGCTTTTCTCAAAATACATATCTTGCTTGAGATGCTTTTGGTAAAAGTGTGTGATGAGAANTTTTTTTGTTTGGTTTGGTTTTGTTTTGGAAAGTTGTCATTTCAATTGATCAGGATTTATTGTTGCATGAAGAAATTATGAGATGGTTTTTTAAACAGAAATTGAAAATTCAGTCAATGTTAATTTAACTTTCCCTTAGAACCCTGAAATAAAATGAAGTAGAAGAGCTCTGGAAACCAGATTAAGACACACTTGAAAGCACAGAATTCACTTACTGCCTTTCTAATTTTAGACAATTGTGGTGGTCAAAACTATATGAGATTTCATGAGAAACTGGTAATAAATTGAAATAAAAACTCAGTGATACGCAAGAGATTTCAGAAATTCATGTTAAAACTACAATGCAGAAAGAGTATCTCAGTGAATTAAGTGCTGTGAAGTTACTAGGCTTGGAACTTTTAAGCTAATTCTGAAGTGAAATGATAACACTTGCAAACTATCAATCCATCTGACCTTCTGTAAGACAAGATGGTTTCTCAGACAGCCTTGAAACTTGTAGTCTGTGTTGATAAGGATTTGTGTCTGCTAATGGGATGTGAAAAGGAAAAGAGGAGGGGCTTGGCTTTACTCAAACTCTGCACCTCTCCAGCATTATCATTCACGGCCACCTCTTCTGTGTTTGCCTTTGTTGGTGTTTCAGGTGTTTTCTGCTGTTGCTCTTCACTGCAGTAAGCAGTAGGGAGAAAAGGAGGGACAAAATATTTCTGTAGTTAGGTTCTGTACTAGATTTTGGAAGGTGGGCTTATGATTCTGTCTTCTTACCAGAAGGCTTCTTACTGGATTCTGGCTTCTTAAGCTCAAACACTTATCCTATGCTTGTTTAAATAAAGTTGTTCTTGTAGGTGCACAATTGTATAGATTACTTTTGAACATAGAATATGCACTTAATTTTAATCTTTTCTTTATTACACCCATGTTTCAGTCTAAAACTTAATTAAATTTATTGAATTCTCTTTAATAGTGTCTATTACCAAGGAGGTCCTGAAAAGTGCATTCATACTTCGATCCCAACATTAATACCAGAATAGCTCTAATATATTTTAATCTTATGACAACCTAACAATGTTTCACACTAGAAACTGTGCTCTAAATTATCAAATGAAGCAGTAAGGGGGTATACATAAGAATAACACAGTTTGTGTAGAATTGTACTATATGGTGAATATATGAAATGAGAAAAAGATTCAGACAAAGATAACATTTTCTTCCCCGCCCCCCTGCCTTACCCCCCGGACACTAGTGGCACTTGTGCATTTGTGTTTTAGATTAGACATAGACATTTTTGCTTATTTTTCTCATACATGTGTATTTTGGTGCCCTTTATAAGGGACAAAAATTATGGATATGTTGATTGAGTAAAATTTAAAAGTTCAGATAACTTGCTTCCTGCATTGATCATAATTTTTTGACAACATTTTCATTCATGTGCTAGCTTTCATGAGATTTTTTCTTCTTAGTAAGAGCATTGCTCTTAAATTAATGCTTTTACATAAATACGATGTATTTAGATGATGTTTCTTTAATATACCACTTTCAATTAAATGTATTACATGTGAATGACACAAATTTTCTTTTACTGTAAGGATAATAACTTTATAGAATAAATATTTGCATTTTATGAACTGGAAATTACTTTCCCAAAAAAACAAAAAAAAACCCCAAAAAACCAACAACAAAACAAAACAAAAAAAGCCCCAAAAGGCAGATCTAAGGTTTTTTTTTCCTCCTAGACAAATCTTTAAAATTGCTGCTATAAAAGTCTTCTGAGATAAATTACAGGTAAAAGTACCTTGCACTATTTTTGGCTTACCTCACGCAGCTGAAGTTTTAGCAGATGGTGAGTTTGCTGTGGACTTGATGCAAAGTCAAGCAGTAACACAGAGCAGTCTCAGTGAGTGTGTTCAGCAGTGCAAGAAGAAAACAAAGTCCTCATCTCCAGCAAAACACTTCCTGTTGTGTTCTTAACAGCTCAGTTGTAGTAAATTGTTTATTACTTAAACAAGCCATCTAAGGAGAAGCTGAACTGTGACATTGTGTAGTAAAATTCAGTTCTGTGCTGATCATACATTTTAAGTTTAATGTACTTAAAGTCAACTGGTGTACTGTGCTATTTGGAATAATTCAGTGCAAAAGTCATGTAAGACTGAGTTGCATGCACATTTCCCTCTTGCAGTTTTTGAAACAAACTGCTATATTTTGACTTTGTGTGGCCATTTTATTTTTTTTAATGTAATAATCAAATCGGCTTGTAAAACATGCTCAGATATTTTAAAAGTGCTTGAAAGTAGTTCTGTTTTTCAGATATCTGCCTCTCAAGTACTGTTTTTCATAGACATTTTTGCAAGCTGCAATGCAAGAAAAGAGAAGGGCTTTTTCTTGGTCAGATAAGAGAAACCGAAAGCATGCAGCTGACTTCGGCAAAATGCTTTTTGTTCCCTGGCTTTGCAAGAGAAAGGAGTCTTTACGAAGCTTTCTTAAATTTTCATTAGTAATTTTCTTTGTCTTAATGCTGTCTCTGTTATGACAAATATCACTTCAATGTGTGTACTAAATTTCCTGTTTGAGAGATTATGAAAATGCATCTTTCTTGATCAGTGTCTGGTCATGATCTCTCTAGACTTTGGGAAGAGACTGCCTTTTTATTATAGATTCCCTCAGTAATCAGAGGTGGTTTTTTTGGTTTTGTTTATCTTAAATTCTGCTGCCAGCTTCCCCTCGTAGTTAAGGTTCC